TGACCTACAGCATCTAAAAGCCCATATTATAGAAGTCACTGCAAACTAAGGTTCCCACGCGTTTTCTTTGATGCAAGACTAAAGCGGGTAAAAAAAGGGTGATTTACAGCAGGCACCTAAAAACATGTAACAGTCGACATAATATATTGCCCTTAACACACTTTAGCGTACGTCAAAGAAACATCGTTCAAGAGACGGTATGAGTAATTTTCGAGACTCACGTGGGGATTACACAAAAATTTAGCGTTAAGGTGGTGTCTCCGTCTCAACATGAGCAATTTGAAGGCAAGATTACTGTAAGTCATTTATACTAATTATCCTGTGCATGCATCCAAAGAACGTTTTTCAAAATAGGACACAAGGACAAAAACCTCTTTTTAACAACTGGATCAAGATCTTAACAAAAACCCAACTATATTTTTATTTGTTCGCTGGCCTGCGAGAAGTGCCCCACAAACTTGCGTGGGCATAGGTAAATTAATAAATGAGTTAGAGTTTGCTTTTAACGCGAACAGACGAAAGTGAAAAAGGTTATGACTGGAATTATCCACTGTCTGTGTGTTTTGTTCAGGTTAATGCTCTTCTGCTATGCTAGTCAGAGACATCGGTTTCTGTTGAAACAAAGACGCCTCAGACATCATCATCATCGTCATCATCATTGCCTTTCTCACCCTGGGTCAGGATATAGGCCACGAACAAACACTCTCCACCTTTCCCCGTCCTGGGCTAGTCGCTTGATGTCACCTCACGTTTTCCCACTTTAAATTACATCCATTTCTGTGACTCTTCTCCAGGTTCCACGAGGTCTTCCCCATGACCTTTTACCATGTGGGTTCCAATCTAACACTTTTCTTGTTATGCAGCTGCTTGACCTCCTGAGAGTGTGTCCAATCCATCGCCAACGTCTTCTTCCCATCTCTTCTCTGACCGGGCTCTGTCTGGTTCTTCTTAATACTTCCTCGTTGGTGATCCTGTCTGTCCATTTGTTCCTCAGCAGCCTCCTCAGACACTTGTTCAAGAAAACCTGGATCCTCTTTATGCACGTGTGGGATGCGTTCCACGTCTCACATCCATACAACAAGACTGACTTCTCATTTGAGTTGAAAATTCTAAGCTGTGTTCGTAATGAGATAATCCTGGTCCTCCAAATCCTGCTCAAAGAAATAAATGCAGCCTGTGCCTTTCCAATGCGGGACTTTATTTCAGCGCCTGTTCCTCCCTCTCTGTGAATTTTACTCCCAAGATAGTAAAAGGATTCGATGTCTTCTAGTGCATTTCCTTGTACTGTGACCTGCTCCTTTTGCGGTGCATCTATCCTTAGGACTTTCGACTTTCCAGGGAGGATCCTCAATCCACCAGACTCTGATAGACTTTTTAAAATTGTTGTCTTGCATCTGTTCCTGAGTGTGTGACAGACGCTCCAAGTCATCTGCAAATTCCAGATCGTCCAACTGTGTCTATGGGCTACACTGTATGCCATTTTTGTGTCCTCTGGTGGTTTCCTTCATCAGCCAGTCGACTGCCAATATGAAGAGTAACGGTGATAATAAACATCCCTGTCTCACACCAGTCTTGATGTCAAAGTTGTCAGTGAGCGGGTCATCATGTAAACCCTGCAACTTGTCTCTTCGTACATGCTCTTCATGAGGTTCACCAACTTCTGTGGGATTCCGTGGTTTCTCAGTATCTTCCATAGTGTTGCTCGGTCTATACTGTCAAAAGCCTTCTCATAGTCAAGGAAGTTGACGATCAGCTGGCAGTTCCACTCCAGGGACTGTTCCACAATAATCCTCAGCGAGGCAATCTGGTCGGTGGTTGAGCGATTTTTCCGGAAACCAGCCTGTTCATCCCGTAGTCTTGGATCCGTTGCTGCCTTGATTCTCTCCAGAATGATTCTGTGGAAGATCTTACCTGGTATTGAGAGAAGAGTGATCCCTCTGTAATTGCTGGAGTTGCTGAGATCCCCCTTTTTTGGAAGTTTCACGAGGTGTCCTTCTTTCCAATCCTTTGGGAACTTGCTCTCATTTCAGATCCTGGTAAACAGTGGGAGGAGGATTTCAGATCCTGGTAAACAGTGGGAGGAGGATGTCTGCCGTCACATTGGCATCTCCTTTTAGGGCTTCAGGTGGAATCTGGTCTGGACCGGCCGCTTTACCTTTGTTCAGCTTCTTAATGGCATCCAGAATCTCTTGTTTTGAAGGAGCATCACAGCAGATTGGTAACTCATTTCTTGCTGGCAGGATGTTTGGTGGGTTACTCGGTGGTGGTCTGTTCAGGAGACTGTTGAAATGCTCTACCTATCGTTTGGACTGAGCTCCCTTTCCAAAAAATGGTTTTCCCCTTTTGGTCCTTTACTGTTACCTCAGGTTTCCCGTATTTTCCAGAAAGTATCCTTGTGGTGTGGTAAAGGATTCACATGAGCCCTCCTACCGCTGCTTCCTCTGCCTTCTCAGCCAGCCTCTTCATGAATTCCTCCTTGTCTTTTCTCAGTGATTTCTTTACATCTTTAGCTGTTGTCCTGTACTTCTCCAATGCCGCCGCTCCTGACCCTCTTGTTCTACTTGCATTCGTTTCTACCTTCAGCTCTCTTCGTATCCTAATTAAATCCAATGGGTGTTTACTAATCCATTCCTTGTGCTCCCATTTCTTCCCACCGAGCCCTTCTTGACAGGTTGATGTAAAGACCTCTTTGACCTTGTTCCAGTGTGTATCCACCTCCCTGTCTTCCTCACCAAGATCCGCCAAGGGTTGAAATCTGTTCCTCAATTGCAGTTGAAACTCCTGTTTCTTGTGTCCATCTAAAAGACTTACTTGGAACTTCATTCTTTTTTGTCCTGTTCTGCTCCCATGCTTTATGAGACGAAGCTTGAGTTTTGCTAACAGCAGCAGATGGTGATCCGATCCAACGTCTGTCCATCTCTGTACTTTGACGTCTTCCAGTGAACGCCTGAACCTACGAGACAGACAAAGTCTCTTTTTTCCACGTTTTGAAATCTAAAACTAATATTATTTGACGTTTGAGTATCTAACAGACTTCGAGCTATCATGTCATATCTCGCCGAAGGGCTTGAATGGTATGTCTAGGTTGAATGTTCAGTGGCGTTGCTGCAAGTTCGTGTCTGTCTGTCTGTCTGTCAGTCTGTCAGTCTGTCTGTCTGTCTGTCTATTTGCCTATCTGTCTGTCTGTTTGTCTGTCTGTCTGTCTGTCTGTCTGTCTGTCTGTCTGTCTGTCTGTCTGTCTGTCTGTCTGTCTGTCTGTCTGTCTGTCTGTCTGTCTGTTTCGCTCTCTCTCTCTCTCTCTCTCTCTCTCTCTCTCTCTCTCTCTCTCTCTCTCTCTCTCTCTCTCTCTCTCTGGTTGGGGGGGGGAAGTGGGAGATGGTTGATGGTCGAGCTCAGCACAATAAATAAAATCGTTGCATTGTAATACTTGGTGAAATAATAAAATTATATTATAAAGCTTTTTAACTCGCTACTTCCTCAAAAGGTGTTGCAAACTTTAACAGCTTTTGCTCTATTCCAAAATTCTAACATGATGGAAAAATTGTCGATAATTATTATGTCAGAGTGGATACCGAGATCCCGGTAGAAAGAATGAGAAATTAAAATTTTGATAAAATCCTTCCATACGTAGGACAAGAACTCGCGTCTTTTGCAAAGAAGGCGGTCACCTATAACTGTTGCACCACACACACCAGTGCAGTGGAGCTGGGTTTTTAGTTCCACATGTCAAATGTATTGAAACTTACTGACGTTTTACTTCATGTTTACTGTTTCATCCTCTGTTGCCGCTAAGCGTCGAGGGGAGATGCAGTTCTCTGTGGTATGCCAGCTCCGCAGCTCTTTCAATTGCAATATATTACGATCAATTGTCAGGGTTTCCTTGACACCTTCAATCCACCTTTTGCATGGCCTTCCTCTTCCTTTATAGCCTGAGTACGTGGTGTTATAGGCTCTCGAGGCTGGCTTGCTTGATGACATACGTAATAGGTGGCTAAAGTATTTTGTTCTGTCTTTCTATGAAATGCAGGCAGAACTCAGTGCTAGAGTAACTGCTCTTACTTCTTCATTTCTCTAGGGATGTCAATGGTTTTATGGAGAAATTTCATTTCTCATGCAGTGATTTTGCTTTCATACGTTTTACTTAATGTCCAGGTCTGGCACTGGTAGTATAATGTTGGTATGAATGTTGAAGTGATAAGCTGCTTCTTTGCGTCCATGGAGATGTTTGGATGAGATATGAGGGGTGCAGCTAGTAGGTGACAGCGTTGGCCTTTTGAGTTCTCATTTCTCTTTCTCTGTCTATGGACTCGTTTTCAGAAAAAGTGTTGCCAAATTATTTAGATTCCTTCATCTGTTTCAGTTGTTTACTGTTGACATGGATGTGCAGGGAACTATGGTTTCGGCTCAGTTTCATAACTTCTGTTTTTGATGTGCTTATTTTCATGTCAAATTTCTCGCAACTGTAGTTCAATTTGGTAGCATGATTTTGGAGGCTTTGTTGGTTTGGATCAATAAGACATGGTCTCCTGAGAATATAATTTCATTGAGGAGTTCTGAGCTTTGGATTGTCTGTATAGATTATAAATAGAAGGGGAGAGAAAACGTCTTCATGTCGTACTCCAGATCTTACTTTGAACCAGTCTGTATTTATGTACAGATAAACAGAGAAAAGTTTGAATGATTTTTTCCACAAGTGGATAAAGCGGTAAAAGTAAACATTGGGCCTCCATTCCAAACTTGATAAAATGTCAAAATTTGCTCTTACCGACCAAGTGACATCCTTTACTGTAGCAGAACAGATCGTAGGCCTACTCAGATTTATATATAAGGTACGAGTTCAGAAATAAAATCCGTAAGGGACATGAAAAAATTGATTTCTTGTTTGCTCCAGGTGGGTGTTCGGAACTAATTTCCCAGTTATGTTAATGTCTCCATTGTCTTTTTTCTCAGGTCAAACCAGGTAGAACGTCAGGAGATAATTAGACAGCTTCTGAGTCAGTATGGATCCGATGTCCACCATCAATGCTACAAATGCCACACTGAAGTCAGCTGCCGAGGCTCTCCAGGAGGAGAAAAGACTGTTACAGGTACTCTGATGTACTTTAAAGGTGCACCTCATCCTTAGCTCAGTGAGTATTGTGCTGTGCTACGACATTGATGCCACTGTTGGAAACGATAATAGATCATTCTTGACTGTAATGCAGGGTGCCCACATGCATGATTGGTTCGGTTCATTTCGGTTTGGTAGGCGGGGCTAACCGGATTGAGGGCGCAAAGCGACCATCGTGGTACAAACTGATCGCCAGACTCACTCTCAGCCTAAAAAACAAACGCGTCGGTTTTCAGGCCTCGAATCGGGCGATCAATTTACGATCGATTTGTCGATCCCCCAATGGGCCCTGGGTATAAGTTCTTTTGGTATATTTTAAGACTCTCCGCTCACTATCAAAGATAGACATCAAACTTATAAGGCATGCCTTGTAAATAACCTTACAGCGTGGAAGAAACCGATTCCTTAGGGCCTTTCTCGTGTGAAAGTACAAGGTGATTAAAACACCCACCACTCCCCCCTAAACTACTGTACAACTTTTTTTCTCAATATCTCGCACACAATTTGTACTAGAATTTTATAATTGGGAACAGGTACACTTTATTCAAAAGTAATTTGTTTGACATAAAATTCACAGAGAATAAACTTATTATCGTAAAACAGAAATGAAATGACTTTTATAAAAACTACCTATAAATGCAAAATGTACCTATTTAAACGATCTTGTAAGGAAAGTCAGTAAATGATTGTTGTTGTTTTTTTTTTCCTTTTATTTTAAAGATCTATCTTTCCATCCCAGTAACCTTTAAACAATATTTCTTTTCTCCTACAGAGTTAAAAAAATTGGGGTTTTTTTTAATTCTGGAATTCCGAGAACCAATGCTCTATATGTCCTCCTTTGGACTCGACACATTTGAACGTGTCGTTCGTAATGTTCAGTGATGGCCAAACACAAGGACCCATTCAGCAATGAGTACTCAAAGCCACACACCCTGTACATCTTACAGTGTGGAGCTGTTTCGAGAGGAAATAGGGAAAGGGGGGGGGGGTGAGGTTGCTCAAGTAGATATCATATCATTTGTTGAGGTGATATAACCTGAAAGGTGAATATGGGCTTTTCCAAGGAACCAAATGTCATACAGGAAATGTTTACGATTTTTAAACAACCGAGGAATCATGAACACATTGCTTTCCTCTGATAGTTTCGAAAATGGTACAGCCGTAGATGAAAATATGCCTCGAGAATGTGGACCGTTGAGATGAAGGACAGTCATTGCTGTAGGCATCGTCTACGGACAGATTATGTCTCATGGGGCTCATCTACTGAATTCTGCACCCTGGTGACGTTTAAAAGAGTGCACATATGGTGTGTTTTGGACCTGAAGTGGTCGTTTTGTTAAGGAATATTTAGTTCTTATTCTCTACAGGTCCTAACTGAAGGACCATTTCCACCCTTGACACCAAGAAAGTCCTTAAGGTCACTTTAACTTTATTTCTGTACCTTGTGCGAAACTTACGAAATTGGTTGGTGATTAGGAAATATTATATAAAAAAATCTCCCTGCTCTTTACTAATCTTAACCATGATCTCAGCAGGCAAAGGGAATTTGAGGTAAAACTATTTGCAAACTTCTGTTGGCCTGTTAAGTTGCTGTAGTTAGCAATATGGTGCAATTTTGGGGATTTTTATATTAAAAATATTTTTTAAAATTTTATTTCAAATTTTCTTCAAACTTCAAAACCTTAAGTGGTTGTCCGCAGGGTGGCGCTGACGTCATGTGACTCTTCTTTTCCAGTCATATATCTGTTCTTTCTTAGATATAGCCACATTGTGCGTGCTTGTGTTTGTGTGTGTGTTTGTGTGTATGTTTGTGTGTATGCGTGTGTGTGTTTGTGAGTGTGTTTGTGTATGTATGTGTGTGCTCTTGTGTGTGTGTGTGTGTGTGTGTGTGTGTGTGTGTGTGTGTGTGTGTGTGTGTGTGTGTGTGCATATGTGTGAAATCCTATTACATGTGGGTTTGGTAAGACCCAGGATAAATAAACTTTGTCAAATACTTTGAGTGATATAGATGTCAATTCACTTAAAGTAGTGGGAAAGTGTTAGATCTATGTTTATAATGCAAAGCCTAAAACAAATGTTTATAAGAGTATTAGTTTTAGAGAAATTTACCATGGAACCTGCCAAAACTAAAGAACTTAATATCCTTTTGAAAAAGAATCTAAGAAGATTTACCTGCGATTTAATCAGGAATCCTTGAGCTTACTGCCTTCACGCACTGAGGTTATACTCCAACACCAACACAGTCTCTCTCTCTCTCTCTTTCTCTCTCTCTATCTCTATCTCTCTCTCTCTCTCTCTCTCTCTCTCTCTCTCTTTCTCTCTCTCTCTGTCTCACACAAACTAGCCCCCCCACCCCCACCCCCACACACGCACACACATACACAACCACACACACACACACACACACACACACACACACACACACACACACACAAATACCTCCTAGTTTCTTCGTACCCTCGAATAAGGTGCGTTTGTTCATACACTGCGTCAAAGTTCTGCAGGCAATATAACTAAAAGTACAATAATAATATGTATATTATGACGGAACCAACATCTCGTGTGTTTGTGAGGTGAGTTGGGTTTTTTCATCAACGTTTGGTATGTTGTATCACCTCTCTTCTCAGGCTGATGTACTTATAAAAGTGCATACATGTTGTTGACAGCTTGGTAACTGAAAGAATACTCGTAGATTAGAACAACTAAACGTCTATGTCAAAGTTCGAAATTGTTTAACAACTCTTGTAGCTTTACATTCAGGAAATACGCATCGAGGTCAAAGACATGGCTTTTGAGGGGTACTCGAGAAAGGAAACTTAAATTATTGTCGAAGTACGATAGCAGATGTCTGCTTCAGACCTGGTACTTGAAGACGAATGAATTTCAGCAGAGTGAAGGCAAAGATTTGTATGTGATACGTTTTAGAATCTTTAGCATATTATTATTTTTATAAAGCTTGAAATATGAATTTCTCTCAGATTTTTATGATAAAAGTTGTGTTCTGTAAACTGAGCTCCCCATTCTCAAAGAAAATGTAAACGTCCTGCGTTAATCGTACTGGGTCTTGAAAATATTATGACTTGTATCCCTACGTTGATCTTCAAGCAATCGTCCTTCGTTTCACGTAAACGTCAACCTGTTTGCAATGCTGGATATTATTAAAATATCGCTTCACCAGAATTACAAAGTTATATTTGACATTTTGGGCCACTTTGAGTTACTCTAAGACCATAAGTAAGGAATCAAAAGTTCTGTCTTCCCTATCAATATTGTAAGATTCCTCGAAGTCAGTACCAAGATATTCAAAAAATTGCATTCTAAAAAGCTTGACATGATGTGAAACTCCAAATCTTTGACGCCAAATTTTTCAAAACTAGGTACTGAGCAGATAGAACTTTGTAATCCTGAGGAAGCGATATGGCATCCTTTTTATCGGATATCAGTACTCTTCTTAGTCCAAACGTTGAATGGTTGTTTGAGTAAAAAGTTTCCATCATCTAGATCTAGATCTATACCGTTTCCTTCGCATTTTCCGGACATGAAATGTGTGAGCTACACCCGGGGGGTAAAATCCCACGAACAGCTTCTGTGTCATGAGTTGATGACATGCATTTACAATAACAGCTTGAAGGAAAAGGTGGCAATCTGCATCGCCGTGACTGGCTTCACGTAATTTTCTATGAAATGCTCTGGTGGTCTTTTCAAAAATATCTGAAAGTCTGGTACAGATAGACTGGATTTGCCAGAAATCGTTTATGGGATTGAAATGAGATGATTTATTATGCCATTGTCCATATAACAATGCGTATGTACTTATTTTGATTTACGAAAATCTTGCTAGAAAATTCTTTACAGAGATGAGGAAGGCTGAATACAAATCTGTGGAGTAATAAGCATAGGCTAGCTGAAATTAAGAAGGTTGTACGTATATATATATACATAATATATATAAATATATATATATATATATATTTTTTATGTGTGTATATATATTTGAATATGTCATGTATGTGAGTGTGAGTGTGTGTGGGGGGGGGGGGGGTAGGGGGGTGAGTGAGTGAGTGTGTGTTTGTGTGTGTGTTTGTCACTGTATGTGTGTGTGTGTGTATGATATTAATGTGCATGTGTGCCTGCGCGTGCGCGCGCGTGTGTGTATGAAACGCTTAATGTGTTAGTATTAGTTTATGCTGAAAAGATTTTCATTACTCCCAGGTAAAGAAATGCTATAGAATCTACTACTATGATACAATAAGGCTATTATAATACGTTGTAAGGCTTTGACTGAACGATATACACAACATAGGTCAGATGTCCTGTATTTTATTTGTTGGTAGCCTTATACCACTTCAAATATATGTACGAATTGCGCATAGCGTCTGTGACCGTTGCTTTAAAACACAGTCCTGGCAGCAAACTGTCTTACATTGTAGAGAAAAAAGACGGTATTAAACAAAATTGCGCACTGTCCTTTTTATCTGTCTTTCCTCGGTGTCTCTAAAAGGACAATAATAAAGTGTAGATAATTACGTTCTTTTAAAAAATGACCATTGCTAGCAGGAACGAAGCCCGTCTGTCTCTCTGTCTCTCTGTCTCTCTGTCTGTTTCTAACTCTCTCGCCTTCTATGGTCTCTTTTTCTCTCCTCTCTTTCTCCCCTGTTTTCATTTCCGTTTATCTTTCCCCTCCGCTCCCCATCTCTCTCTCCCTTCACCATCTGCTCTAGATCTCTCCCTATCTTAACTATCTATCTCACTCTCTCTCTCTGTCTCTATCTCCTTGTGTCTCTCTGTATGTGTCTCTCTCTCCCTCTCTCTTCCTTTCTTCCCTGTGAAATGAGCAAACAGAAGGGACAACGACCCCGTGAAACCAGCCCTCATACAATAAAACGAAAATGAAAACAATAAACCACAACAACAAAAATATACACCCCAACAACAAAAGGGAAAGTTTTACCTTTTCAACCCTCACTTTAAAAGAAT